AATATAATTATATATTTTTTATTTATAAGAAAATATTAGTTATATATTAAATTTCTTACATGTGGAAAATTAAATTTTCTTTATCAAGTATATTTTTCTTATTTTTGTCTCCTTTAGGCCAAAGTTTTGACTTCGCCTATCTAGGAGTGTGTGTATATGTGTGTATATTTTCCCAACCGATATAAACAAATAAAGTATCGGATAGTGCATACATGATGCCTCAATAGTGAGCGAGATAACACTATGGGCTGGTTGCTGCATTTTCATTCATGCTTGTGTGGTCAAACTGACATAGTTATGATCCGATGCTTGATCTTGATTGGTTGCATGTTTTCCTTAATCTCATTTTGTTACTTACCTGTGCTACTTGCTTGAAATCTTCAGATTTTCAACAAATCTCTTCTGGCGAAATTCTGTTGGGCAATGGATGTAGATCCCGATTTCAGATTCTGAGATACATAGAATGGAGCCATGTTGATGATGAGGAGAAACATTTCTTTTTTACTTATTTCTTTTTTATAAAATTATTTTTTTCTGTTGTCAATTTTAGCGGAAATTGATGTTGTAAGTCCATCTAATCTAATTATGGGGTGAGTTGCCCCTTCTTCATTGACAAGTTTTTATACTTGAACTGTTAACCATTCATAGTCATGATTTTAATGTGATAAACATGCCAAATGTGAAAAATGAGTTAAAGTTTCAGTCTTAATTTATTTTTATTATTCTGTGATTAGTTTTTGTTTTTGCCTCTGGAAAGATTCTTTCATTTTTGCTGAACACAAATTTGTAGTTTAAGGAATCACACAACAACACGATTAGATGCAAGAAATTTTGGTTAGTGTTTTAGGGTATCTATTTGCTTGAGAAGGGTATCTATTTGCTTGGGAGTTTGAATTGGTTGATTAGTGTTTGAGATAAACAATGGTTCATTTTAAAAATTGTTCGGTCTTTTGCAATAATTGTAAATGTATGTTCTATGAATATGAATTAAATTTTAGTTTATTAGAATTTTATTACTCAGTTTAGTTAAAGGAAATGGTAACTGCCTATTACCAGTCTAAAAGAATTGACTAATTAATAACTACATCACAACAGTAAAATCTTGTTTTGAGGATTCTGCCGATCAATTTATAATTTTGGTGGTCTCAACTTGTAACATATTGAAAAAGGAATTTTCCTTTAAATTTACTCACAAAATTGGCTTGCAAGATCAGTCGTAGTTTTTGAAAAAGGAATTTCTCGTTAAATTTACTCACAAAATTGGCTTGCAAGATCAGTCGTAGTTTTTGAAAAAGGAATTTCCCTTTAAATTTACTCACAAAATTGACTTGCAAGATCTGATTCAATCGTAGTTTTGATTCAATTATTTTTATTTGGGAAGTGCTAATGCATAATAATGAATAAGGAGAAGTGGTAAGACAGTAAAGTCAACAAAGATTTACGTTGATAGAGAACATAAGAAGATCAAGTCTTAGGTGAACCATTGAGTAATGTGATCTATGACAGTCAAAGTGATGTTTCTTGGGTAAATTATTAAAATATTAAATGGTTGAGATGAGTGATTTACAAATTCTTTATCATTTTTTCAGTAAATTAAACTGACATTTTTTAACATTCGTAAAATTGTATGTATTCTATATTTATACTATCATTCTTTGTAAGAGAAATTAATGTAAACAATAAAATAACAGGAGATTGTGTGTCATCTTATGAAATTTCATGTAGTTTCATTGAGTCAACATAATTTTTAATTTTTTTTACAGGATAATTACAAGTATTGATTAAGTTTTAATCTTATTTATGTCTCATTGCAAAATATTAAATTATACTTAAAAAATAATTTATTAAATTATACTTTATTTCAAATAATTTATGTTGTTTTTTATTTAACAATTGTTATTTTCTAAAGAGTTGTTTGAAACTTTAAAAGTTGTTCCAACTCAAATTAATTCAACATAAGAAATAAAGAGAGATCAGCTAGAGATATGAAATAAAATGTAAAATTTGGCTGTGACTGCATTTTTATTGCGCTTAATCATGCAAATAGTGAGCCCGATATATATTTTATTTTGTATTTTACTTAATGCATATCAAGTATTTATTATTTTTAATTTATTGATGTGAGTGTGTTTGCATTTATATTACTCTTAATTTATTGTCGTTTGTGTCTGTTATATTATAATCAATTAATTAATTTGTTAACTTATTAATTACTATTTTTACAGAACTTATTAATTACTTGGTTTTTTTGGGAAAAATTACTTAGTTTTTGATTTTTTGTAATGATTATTAACATGAATTATTAACAGTTTGATTAATTTTTTGTACAACTTCTAGCCATTGCAGTAGTAAATATATATATATATATATATATATATATATATATAATTGTGCTAATTTTGATTCAAGTTTTCAAAATATGTTTGTTCAAAATGTTAAATAATTATATTTTATAATATATTATGAAAAATGAAATGCTTTCAAAAATAATAACTATTCAAAGATTAAGAATAAGAAATAGTTTTTATTTTCTAATTTGTGAGATAATAGAAAAATCAAGAATAAAAAAATGAAATTATGTTCATGCTTGTATTTATTGAATAAATCAAATATTTTAAAGTAAATATTTAAAGAAAAGATAATAATGTTAAGAAATAAAAAAGTAAATTCCATTACTATATATTTTAATTTTTTAGAATCTATTTAATTCAGTATAAAAAAATATTAATCGACAGTGTTTTATAAATTAAATACAAACATATTCCCAATACGAACATATTCCCAAAAAGTTAAATCAGTTTTAGTTATATGAAATAAGAAGTTTAAACACAAAATAACACAAATTAATATATCAATGTCCTGAAGTATAATATGTTTGCTGTCCCTTAAATTTAGTGTATATATTTTGTATTCCTTAAATTTAAAAAATATGTTTTTAGTCTCCATAACTTTTTTTAAAAAAATATTATTTTAGTCTCTCAAATTTAAAATTTGTGTTCTTAAAATATTAAAAATTATTATTTTAGTTCCTTTCAATTTGTACTATCAGTTATGATATTAATAATTAAAACATTTTTTTAAAATTACAAGAACCAAAAAGATAAATTTTAAATTTGAATAATCAAAATAATATTTTTTTGATATTTCTGAGACTAAAAATACTTTTTTTAAAAAAATTTGGGATACAAAAAAGATATATACCTAAATTTGGAGGACTAAAAATATTATTAAACTTAAATATTATAATAGTTAAAATATACACTTAAATACGAAAATATTTTAAAAACTAATAATAGAATAAAATAAATAGTTACTATCTATCGTTGGAAAATCGAGTATCTAGCTAGTTCTAGGATATAAATTTGATATCTCATTAAGGAAATTTACACCAAATCAGTTTCCCTAAAAAGTGGACAATTTAAACTTAATATTTTTTTCTTTCACATTCTTTCTACGTAATTTCTCTATTCATGAATGTTTTATATCTTATGTAATAAAAGCAAAAAAAAAATAATAATAATTTTTTTTTCTTTGTGTTATAAAGGATACACGTAATAAAATTCTACCTTATAAGTGGAAGAAGAGAGAAAATCAATATAAGTGTAATAAAATTTTGGTTTAAATATACTTTTAGTTTCTTAAATTTAAAATAAATTTATTTTTGATCTCTTAAATTTAAAAATATTATTTTAAAATTCTATAATTTTTTAAAATTTTATTTTATTTCCTCAAGTCACTAAAATTTGAATGTAAGAAATAGAACGAGATTTTTAAAAATTCAGGAACTAAAAAGATTAATTTTAAATTTGATGGTTTAAAAATAAATTTATCTTAAATTTGAGATTAAAAATATATTTAAGTCTAAAATTCTTCTTCTCATGAAAAATATTTAAAATAAAATTTAATAAATATTTTTAAGACAAAAGAATATATAAACAACTAGAAACCACAGTAACATTTATATATAAAAAAAAACTACTGTAACATTTTGAAACTGATAATCTAAAAAAAACTATAAACTATTAAAAAAACTTGTTTACCAAAACGACCGATAAGATCAAACAAACTATTCAATTAGTTAAAAAAAATAAATAATAAATAAATAAAAACTAGAAACTAAAGAAATAATGTGAGAAACATATCCTTAGTTTTTGTGAAAAATAAAATAAAATAAAATGCGAGTGAAGTTTTTGAAAAAATTATACCGCTAATTCCTCTCATTAAAGACAAAGTTGATTGAGGAGAGTCAACCCAATGTATATTACTCCCTCGGCGTTTGAATTTTTTTAAAAATAAATGTTATATTAACTTTTTAATACGATATCAATAACCGAATTTTCAACTGTATTCCTAATAATATTACATAAAAAAAATATTTTTGTGTTACATTGTTTATAACAAATAAAATTAATTATAAAGTTAATTTATAAAATTATTTTTTTAATTTATTTATTAATTTTTTTTAATATGTGTAAAATAATCTAAAACAACACATGAAAGAGTGGAGTAATTTATATAACATTAATTTTAATCTTTCTATCATTAATATAATAAATGGTGTGAAAAAAAAAATTATCACCGACACTATTTTTTTTTTCATAATATTCTCTTTATTTTTTTACTAAAAATTACAAATTGTTATAATTTCTACCGCTAAATCAGAGATACTTATCAAATAAGAAATGAAAATATAATTTAAATAATTTTTAATTAATACTACGTAATAAAAAGAGAATTAGAATATACATACACACAGTGGTAGCATTTCTCAATACAGTTAGACAAAAAAAAAAAAAAAAGTTTTTTCACAATTACTAATTTAGTAGCGGTTAAACATAAATGAGCATTGAATAGTATGCTAAATGCCGAAAACAAACACACATACGTTATCAATTCATGGACGTTACAAACACATGAAAAAAGTAACACTCTAATTCCAGTAACCCACCTTTTATGTTTCCACTCTTCACTTTCGTTCCTCACCAACCACATGCAAAGAACCCACTCATTCATTCCCACACATGGAACCATGGTTCACTCTCACTATTCTCTGTCTTTTCCTTTCAGCAATTCTCAAAATCATACGTAACATTCTCTTTCACCGTTGTCCCCTCCCTCCGGGTCCTCACAAATGCAACTTCACATTGCTAAGACAATACCTCACCGATCCAAAAACCATTCTCCAAAACCTTAATGCAAAATACGGTCCAATCTTCACTCTCCACGTTGGTTATTCTCACACAAACATTTTCATTGCGAATCGCTTCCTTGCGCACCAAGCTTTGATCCAACATGGCACTGTCTTCGCTGATCGCCCCAAAGCCAACCCCACCAACAAGGTTCTTAGTAGCAACCAACATGACATTCTCTTCAACTTCTATGGCCGCACGTGGCGCCTCCTCAGACGCAACCTCACTTCAAGAATTCTTCACCCTTCACATGTCAAGTCCCATGCACATGCACGTAAAAGGGTCTTGGACATGCTCTTACAATGTCTCAAATCTGATTTAAACTCTAGTGGCCCCATAAGGGTCATTGAGCACTTTCAATATGGCATGTTCAGTTTGCTGGTTTTGATGTGTTTCGGTGACAAACTCGGTGAGAAGGAAATAAGGGAAATTGAGGAGAGTCAACGTGGCATGCTTGTGAGCTTTGCTAGGTATAGTGTGTTGAACTTTTGGCCACCTGTCACTAGGGCTTTGTTCTGGAAGAGATGGAAAGAGTTCTTAAAGCTAAGGAGAGACCAAGAAGCTTTGTTGATTCCTCACATCAACGCTCGAAGGAAGGCCAAGGAAGAGAGAAGTGAATCTGTTTTGTCGTATGTTGATACTTTGTTGGATTTGCAAGTGTTGGATGATGGCAAAATTTGCAGCTTATGTTCGGAGTTTCTGAATGCTGGATCAGATACAACTTCAACTGCATTGGAGTGGATCATGGCGAATTTGGTGAAATATCATGATATTCAAGAAAGGGTTGTGGAGGAAATTAGAGGGGTAATGGTTGGAAGAGAGGGTGAGGAAGTGAAGGAGGAGGATTTGCATAAATTGCCTTATCTTAAGGCTGTGATATTGGAAGGATTGAGGCGTCACCCTCCTTTGCATTTTGTGGCTCCTCATAGTGTAACAAAGGATGTTGTTTTAAATGGCTATTTGGTGCCTAAATATGCATCTGTGAATTTCTTGGTGGCTGAGATAGGGAGGGACCCTACAGCTTGGGAGGACCCTATGGCCTTTAAGCCAGAGAGGTTCATGAACAATGGTGACACAACGTTTGACATAATGGGAAGGAAAGAGATCCACATGATGCCATTTGGGGCAGGGAGGAGAATGTGTCCTGGCTATGATTTGGCAATGATGCACTTAGAGTACTTTGTGGCCAATTTTGTTTGGAATTTTGAGTGGAAGGCTGTGGATGGAGACGAAGTTGATCTGTCAGAGAAGCTGCAATTCACAATCGTGATGAAGAATCCTTTGAAGGTTCATATATTACCTAGGCAATAGTTAAAACAAAATTCTACTCTTTTAAGGTGTAAATTTCCAAATATTTCATGTTTTTATCTTGCTTTTCTAATATAATGCTGACTTAGATTTTTTTTCTTCTTTTTCTTTGTTGCTACCAACTATCATGTAAAGGATCCAAATTACCTACTCTGAGTGTCCGTCCCCTTTCCTATCTCTTTAATAGAAACATGATAATCAACAAGATAAAATCAACGAGTTGGAAAGAATGTTATTTTTCAATTACTTGAGAAACCAAGAACGTAACAAGAATTGGGAAAAATAAATTTTATCCGATTTCCACATGATTACTTGTCACTACTTAGATTCAATTCTCGTGCTTTTGAGCTTTAGACCAAAACCGAAAGTCTGAAATGTGATTCTTTGGATGTTGGCATGAGGTTCCCTAATGTTAAAAGTGGACCTTTTTCTTACCCTTCAGTATTTGAATCAGATTCGTGAATACCTTTGATGAAATCATATGGTTTAGATTTTAAATGTATGTTTAAAGTTTGAGTTAGATTTACAAGATAAAATACGATTCGTTCGATCTTCATTTAACAGTTACAATTATATGACTGCATGAATATGTTAAATTGCTGGTCGCAGGAAATATAGGTTCTTTCAGCATGACAACTTTACCTTGTTATATGTCAGTTTCAGTTTTATGTTTCTTTTAAAACCGTCACACCTCTACGTTCTTACAATGCTAAATAAACTGCAGCAATGGTTTGCTAATTGATGCCCTTTATGTTTCAAATCATATTATTACTTTCAGTTTCAGATGTTAGGATCACTGAAAACCCATATACTACAAAAGGTGACATATAATAAAGTTAAATAAAGTAACAATAAATTTGGTAATAAAATTCAATGATGAAAACAAAATTGAGTAATAAGAATGATAAAATAGTCGAGTTATCCCACCTTTTGAGGTACCTTCAACTAGCGAGGACGAGGAGATTAATCACTGTTATCGGCCCTGGATACTCCAGGGACGAAAAAAAAATGATAAAACAGTAACAGTACTTATCCAGTTTTGTAGTTATTTACTTTCTACAAGACATAAATTTACGGGTATGTTGATGATAAATTTGAACATTATTGATATTCTATGGGGTTCATGTCCTGCTGA